CCTCCACCTCCCAGGTTCAAGTGATGCTATTGCCTCAGCCTCCTGAGTAGCTGGGATTACAGGTGTGTGCCACCACACCTTGCTAATTTTTGTATTCTTAGTAGAGACGGGGTTTCACCGTGTTGGTCAGGCTGGTCTCGAACTCCTGACCTCGTGATCCGCCCACCTCTGCCTCCCAAAGTGCTGGGTTTACAGGTATAAGCCACCATGCCCAACCTCTACAGTTATTTTTTAAATTATTTATTTTTTAGTGTTGTGATAGTGAAAGAGATTCTACGCTTCTAACAAATGACCAGATGAAGCCAATTCTGCTCGTCTTCAGATCACACTTTGAGCAAAGCTACTCAAGAGCATCTCCTTTGTGGATAACATATGTAAGATTTATGAAATAATGCTTCCTTATTATGTTTTATGATGTTTATTGTATTCTGATTGCCAAGTTCAATGGATGATGCTCCAGTCTAGCTCTTTTTTTATTTTTTATTTTTTATTTTATTGAGATGGAGTTTCACTCTTGTTGCCCAGGTTGGAGTGCAATGGTGCGCTCTTGGCTCACCACAAACTGCACCTCTCGGGTTCAAGCAATTCTCCTGCCCCAGCCTCCCAAGTAGCTGGGATTACAGGCACCCGCCACCACGCCTGGCTAATTTTGTATTTTTAGTAGAGACAGGGTTTCACTATGTTGGCCAGTCTGATCTCGAACTCCTGACTTAAGGTGATCTGCCTGCCTTGGCCTCCCAAACTGCTGGGATTACAAGCGTGAGCCACTGCACCTGGCCCAATTCAGTGTTTTTTAAAACATATTATATTGTTGAACTATTCAAGGCTATCTAATTCCAGAACATTTCCATCACCTGCCAAAGAAACCCTATACCTATCATCTGTCAGTCTCAATTCCTCCCTCCCCAACCCCCAAGAAACCACTAATCTACTTTCTGTCTTCATAGATTTGTTTATTCTGGACATTCAATTCATTTGCCTTCTCCCCATCTTGGCCTTTTTGCCACACACACTCTTAGGTGAGGACTTTATAATTACCTCCTTATTGCCCCCTTTTATTTCTTCCCCATTTGGGTAGCAGCCCTTACTTTAGGTTGGGTGTTACTGACCTTACCTCCAGTTCAGGAGAAAGCCTTAATTAGTGATTCCATCACATTCACCTTACCTCAACAATTCATTCAGATTTAAGTATATGACCTAACTTCTTGGTCCAATCAGAGTGGTGGTCAGGATGTGTCTGTAGAGGAGTGGAGGTTGAAGTCAATTGTTGACTTTTTTCAAAAATTGTTGAATTTTGCTGGGCACGGTGGCTCAAGCCTGTAA